CACCTCCACCACCTATCCTCCACAAACCTCCTCCTCCACCACCAAACCACCTCCTTCCACCACCTCCACCATCACCACCGTCTCTCCTCCACCTCCACCACACCTCCACCTCCATCTCCTCCTCCACCACCTCCTCCTCCAACTCCACCACCTTTCCTCCACCACCATCCTCCACCCCTTCACACCTCCACCACCTCCTCCACCACCTCCTCCACCTCCACCTCCTTCCTCCTCCACCACCTCCCTCCTCCATCCCACCAGACCTGACCACCACCGTCCACCACCTTCCTCCTCACTCTACCACCACTCCTCCACCACATCCTCCTCCAACCACACTCTATCCACCTCCTCCCCTCCGCGCACCAGATCATACTCACCACCAGTCCACCACCAACCATCCTCCTCCACCACCATCACTCTCCTCCTCCACCACCTCCTCCTCCACCACCTCCACGCACCCTCCACCAACCATCCTTTCCTCCACCCCCTCCACCCCATCCTCCCCTCCCCCTCATATACCACCGTCCTCCACCTCCTCCACCTCCCTCCTCCCTTCCCCGGGTGGCCCCTCCCTCCACCACCTCCTCCTCCACCACCTCCCCACCTCCTTCTCTCTCTACCTAAACCTCCTCCTCTACTACCTCGCTCCACCACCTCCTCCCTCCACCACCTTCTCTCTCCCTCCTCCTCTCCTCCTCCTCTACAAGATAGAGGGGGTTTATCATCCTACTCTAACTACTCCTCCAACACCTCATCCCCTCATTCACTCATCCTCCTCCACCTCCTGCCTTTCGCCTCCACCTCCTCCTCCTCCACATAATCCTTCTCTTTACTCCTCCTCCCTCTTCCTCCTCCTATTCCGTCCACCTCTTTCCTTCTCTTCCTCCACTTCCTCGCTCTTCTTCTCCCTCTACTCCTCCTCCACAACCTCTTCTTCTCCTCCTCCTCCCTCCTCTCTCCACCTCCTCCTCCACCTCCTCTTTCCACTACCATACTCAAGGGAGAGAGTATTCAAACCTCATGTCAATATCCATTGCTGGCCTGAGCCAGCTGAGAGTACCTATTCAGAACATCAAGTCAATCCAGCGCGTTCTATAACATGTGACAATCCAACTTGGAGTACGCAGCACCAGTGTGGAGCCTCACTAAAACCTGAAGAAACATGTGAGAAACTGTAATAAGTGCAGAAGTACAACAGCTAGACGCATTCCAGAGTTAAGAAGAACTTAAGAAACTAATCTAACTGAACCCTAGAAGGCAGAAGGACAGGGGAAACACATGATAACAGCATATAAAATACCCAGATGACATTGATAATGCTGTTTTCATAAGAGGGAAACAGACGTATTCAGGGGCACAGCAGGAGAGATAAACACACAGATGAGTCACAGGGAGGAGAGGAAGAGAGTGAGGGAGAGAAAGAGAGAGAGAGGGAGAGAGAGAGGGTAGAGCAGAGAGGGAGAGAAGAGAGGAGATGAGAGGAGGAGAGAAAGAGAGAGGGAGAGAAGGGAGAGAGAAAGTGGGGAAGGCGAGGAGAGAGAGAGAGGGGAGGGGGAAGAGAGCGGGAGAGAGAGAGGAGGGGAAGAAGGGAGAAGGGCGGAAGATAGGGAAAAAGAAGAAGAGGGGGACAGAGAGGGAGAGAAGAGAGGGAGAGAGGGGGAGAGAGCGACGCCGAGAAGAAGAGGAGAGAGAGGGAGACGACAAGAGGGAGAGAGAGAGAGAGGGAGAGTAGAAGGGAGAGAGAGAGAGGGAAGAGTGATGGAGAGAGCAAGAGGGAAGAGAAGGAGGCGAAAAGAGAAGAGAGGGAAGGAGGGAGAAGAGAGAGGGAAGAGAGAGAGAGGGGAGAGAGAGGGAGAGAGAGAAGAGAAGGGAGCAGAGAGAAGGTGAGAGAGAGAGGGAGAGAGAGAGGGAGAGAAAGGATGGAGAGAAGAGAAAGGAAGAAGGGCAGAGGATAGAGAGAGAGAGGAAGGGAGAGTGGGAAGAGTAAGAAGAGGGAAGAGAGGGAGAAGAGAGAGGAGAGAATGAGAGAAGAGAGAGAGGCGGAGAGAAGAGAGGGAAGAGACAGAAGGGAGGAGAAGAGGCGGAGAGAGAGAGTAGGGAGATAGAGAAGACAGAAGGGAGAGAGAGAGGGGAGAGAGAGAGAGGGAGAGATGAGCGAGGGAGTAGAGAGGGAGAAGAAGAGAGAGAGGGAGAGAGCGAGCAGAGGGAGAGGGGAGGGAGAGAAGAGAAGAGAGCGATAGTAGAGAGAGAGAAGAGAGACGCAAGGAAGGAGAGAGAGCGCGGGAAGAGAGAGAGAGAGAGGGGCAGAGAGAGAGAGGAGAGAGACAGAGAGAGAGAAGAGAGAGAGAAAAAGCGTGGAGAGAGAGAGGGAGAGAGAAGAGACAGAAAGAGGGAGCGAGAGAGAGAGAGAGAGAAGAGAGGGAAGAGGGAAGAGGGGGAGAGATGGAGATAGAGGGGAGAGAGCGGTGAAGAGAGAGGGAAGAGAGAGAGAGAGTAGAGGGAGAATGAGAGAGAAGTAGCTATTAGGAGATGAGAGAGAGAGAGATCAGGAGAGAGAGAAAGAGAGCAGGAGAGAGTAGAGATGAGAGGGAGCGAGAGAGAGAGAGAGAGAGGGAGATAGGATAGAGGGAGAGAGAGGGAGAGAGAGGGAGAGGAGAGGGAGAGAGAGGGAAGAGAGGGGAAGGTAGAAGGGAGAGAGAGGGAGAGAGAGGAGAGAGGGGGAGAGAAGCTTGCCTCTCTCCGCGCCGCTCGGAGCGCTGCTCTCTGTGGAGCGCGGCGCGCTTGCTCGCGGCTCGCTTATTTCCGCTCCGCTAGCCTCTGGCTCTGCTGGGCTCTCTCTGCGCTCTACTGCTTGCCTCTACTTCCTCTCTCGCTATGCTCTCTCTCTCTCGCTCTCGCGCTCGAGCACGCGGAAGAGCGCGAGCGCTCGCGCCTGAGCTCGCGCGCGCGCGCTCGCGCGCCTCTATAGGGGGGGGGGCAGCTCTCTTCTCTCTCGCCTGCGTGCTCTCTCCTCTTTCTCGCGCTCGCAGCTCTCGATCTCGCTCTTATCTCATACGCTTCGCTCTTTCTCTCGCCTGTCATCTCTCTCTCTCGGTGTCTCGCTGCTCCTCTTCTCTCTCTCATTCTCTCGTCTCCCTCTCTTGTCTCTCTTCTCTGCTTCCATCTCTCGCTCTCGCACTCTCCTCTTCCTCTCCTCTCTCATCTCTCTCTCTCTCTCGCTCTGCTCACTCCTCGTTGTCTTCGCTCTTCGCTCTCTCGCTGCTCTCTCTCTATTGCTATGCGAATCGAGCTAGCACGCTACTTGTCGTTGCTTTCTTTCTCTCTTTCCATCCCCCTACTTTCTAGACGCGACGAGATGTTGGTCAGAGGGTGGGCGCTGTGACCGCTACCATGATCCGCTATGTGACCACGCCACCATTACACAGAGGAAGACCCGGTCGCACCCAAGTCACCCGGCCCGCCTATAGACTGTGTGAGCGCGCGAACGTAGATTGATAGTATAGCACGACCAAAAATGATACACATTCCCCGCACTACCACACACATACAGTTTGACCCCGACCACCTCTCATCAGAGAAACCCAAAACCCAGCGAGACGATACCTACACAATCAAATACCACCGTGTGAAAACAATTCCACTCTTATCACAACGAATTTCACAACACAAATGTGTACCCACTACTTGCTTCTCAGAATGAGAGTACAGTCATATGTAATCCTAACCGACATTCACTCAACGAAACCTGTATGACAGGGCTGTAGTCCATTAAGTTCCATGCTCCTACAAAATTTTATCTTTCCTACTAAACTGCTAGTTGATTTGTGAGTATGAAAATCGCCCAGGAAGCAGGGTAAAGGATAGCACTACCTGTGGCCGCCGGCCGGTTCTAACCCAGACTTCCCGCCACCACAAACAAGTGATATTTTGTATCGATTACTGAGAAGGGACGACGCGTCCAGTATGTCCTGGATGTACGATGCTTGTGTCGTGTTGAGTGTGAGTGTGTGTGTGTGTGTGAGTGTGTGTATGTAGAGCTGGTGTTGCTGTGTGTGTGTGTGTGTGTGGTTGGAATGTTTTGTGTGTGTGTGGTGTGGTGTGGTGTTCTTTGTGTGTGTGATGTGAGTGTGTGTGTATTGAGTGTGATGAGTGTGTGCGTGTGTTTGTGTGTGTGTGTTGTGTTTATGAGTGTTGTTTGATGTGTTGTGATAATTGTGGTATGTGTCTGTAAAATATAGTAAAATACAATAAACTAATGATAAGATATCATACCAACAATAGATCCTATTAACATTAGATGTGCGGCCATATTTGACACGTACT